ACGTGAGCCGTAGAATGAAAAGGCAAGAAATTGCGGGTGTCTGCAGCGGTCAGGTTGCTCAAAAGCGGTATTGCTCTCAGTGAGTATGATACGCTTTCATTGTAGCTACTCAAGTAAAACTGTACAGGAATCTGTAGCTGAGTCTTATCCTGTCCTGTTGTTTGGGTTTGCAGAATTCATATTAATCAAAATGATTATATTTCTCCTTTAAGGATGAGTTTTGAGACTTTGCCGTACTCAACACTTTCCTGATTACGCAAACAAGGCAAAGGGGATCTTTCTTAACGAGTTAGGTGTTGTAGATGATCTTGATGATTGATTTGAATAGACAGGCACAAGAACTTTTGCGCTTAAGACTTTTTAAACAAGATTCACCACACGCACAAGATTTAGCCACACTTTCTAGAGAACACAACCACTCTTCAGTTTTCAATAAACTTTCTTTTGTTAGCGCAAATGAAAACATCTATGAAAAATAAAAATGTCCCTATCTTCAAGAAGTGCAGGAAAGCCATATTCAGAGGAGGCGGATACTTATCAACGTATACTTAAGCTTTTGGCTATTGGGAGAAACATTTAACAGCCAATATGTTTTCGCTAAGTAATAAAAAAAACATTAAAAAAAACCTTCACAGAAAAATGCTTAATGTCTAAAGAATTATAATAAAAACAGATTTATTGACTTGAAATACCATTCTATGTATGCATAAAACAAGGATACACATATGGATACCCCCTACGCAAGTAGGAACCAAATCGTTCCAGTCCAATTTTTTATATAAATGAATCTTAATGCGACGCAACGCAATATATTTTTGTTAGCAAATTTTCAATAAGTGTTTCATTTCGAATTTTCTTTCTTTCAAAAATATTTCGCTCCTTTAGCTATCGCAAGAGTTTTTCTTAAGCAAATTCATCACTTTCGACATATTAGCTGTGAAGGAGAGAGATAAGATTTGGGTCGACTGAGTCTTGCGTTATTTCTTGAAAACAAAACAACAATCCGCCAAAATATGTCATCTAATATACGGGATGAGTATACTACAGTCGACATGGATTTTAGCTATAAGTAAGAGTCTGCACTGACATTATCGGTCCGGTTGTCTGTTTCTCTTTCTCCTTTTGCCTTTCTTTCTCTTAAACTTTGACTTAAATCGAAGAAACGAGAAAGGGCCTTGTTTGCTTATTTCTCTCTCTCTCTCTCTCTCTCTCTATTCGAAATTTTTGTCTTTTATTTTCATCATACGAAACGAAAAACTTAACATATCCTCCGATAAAGTGAATAGATACGAAAAAAAAGTTTTAAAAAATCAAAAAGGAAAGGTCACCAAAAAGTTGCATAATCTTTTAAGTTGAGAGCTGTGGTGGAGCAGTGCCAAAAAGATATATAAAATATCGCCAACAACAACAGTAATCTGCATAAATATTGCTTTTGAAATTTTTTAAGCCAGACTCTACATATCATGCGGAGACGTTTTGTATAAGTGTTGATGTGTTTGCTTACTTCTCTCATTCTCTTTTGCGTACATTTCAAAAACAAATATTTTTTTCGAATGCTGCTGTTTTTATTGTTTTCTTTCTATACATACATACATTTCCTTTATATACATATATATATATATATATATATGTAGATATATACGTTTACATACGTTCGCATACATTCAAATACATTTTTGATTTTTGTGGATTTTGTTTGTCTGTTTCTTTTACATCTGTTAATTTTTACATAATAAAAATGTGTTAATAAATTTTTTTTTTTTTGGCAAAATAAACCCAAGTATTTTTCACCCCTCACAGGTTTAATACATTTCTAAAACATTTATGATTCATCTACCTACGACGACGAGATTACGTAAACTGTTTATTATCGTGCCATCGTTGCTCTAGATGGGCCTAGTTCATTCACACCTGATCATGTAGAGTTAATAGAAACATTTTTTTTTTTTTGTAAACATATTGTATGCAGATATGTTGGAATTTCTTTATGTCAAGCAATCTAAAAATCTTGAAACCTCTCCCATTTATGAAAACGAAAGTATTAAATATCTGCTCAAAGAGACTTCATGGTTGGGTGATAAAGTTTACACAAATCAGCAAATTTGACTTGACTGCTTTGTAAAATTCTTGTCATCACAACATATATTTTGGACTTTTTTTTGGATATTTGGATACGATTGACAATTGGAAGGATTAGATCATATACAACTGCATTTCCAACGATCTGTACTTAATCGAAACGATCGAAGCAAATCGTCGTCAAGCTATGATTTCAGTTTCAGTATTCAGTTTAGTAGAACTTCTTGTCTAATGTTAAACTGATTCCAAGAAAGTTGTCTACAAACGCCATGAAGCATATTTTTGTTGATCACAAAATCGGAAATTTGTCGACAAACACGACAATAAAGTTGTGCAAACGTACTACCACGATTTTATTTATGAATGGCGTAACAAGCGCACTCTTAAACTTCAAACTCTTATAGAGCGAGCGTAACCTTTTATTTATGTATAGCCAGCCAGTCCCTTTCAAATAAATAAAAAAAAAAAAAAAAAAATGAAAAAGAAAAAAAGAAGTGAGACAAACACAGCATCCTATAATATTCAAGCTTTAATTCGCGAATCTATAACTCATATCATTAATCATCATAATCAGCGCTAGTGTTCTTTAGGAAAACGCACATGATCAGCGTCGTCTTAATTCAATCTTTTCAAACTTTTTGTTCCCAATTTTGCATTGTTCTAAAAACCTATCGTTAGTACTTTTAGTCGAGTTGTTCATGTCAAGTATACTCTCTTTCATAAGTGGAATTATTAACTCCTCATAGGGAAATAGTAAGAGATATTATTCTACACACACAAAGGCTGTGTGAAAGGACTGATTTGCCAGAGACATTATAGAGTATGTAAGAATGAATACACAGTGCAGCTTTTTAGGTCGTAGGGAAATTTATATGTCGACCCAAATGAAAATAGCTTCGATGTTTGAGATTAGGATCGTTGTTAAAATTGGTTTACGCCAAGCGACTGTTTCCGTTTAACCCGTTACTTTTACACGTATATATGTTTTAAAGCGGAGAGTGAAGAAAAAATCGACGAAATGCGTTTTAAAATCTTACGTAGTCAGGCAAATGAACGTATCAAACAAATTGCGTTTCGTGTTACGTCCGCAAAGGAACGAAATCAAAAAACGCTAAACTAATTAAAACAATAAAATTATAAAGGATCTTTCAATAAGAGTGATGCCTATTAGGAATGATGCCTATTAAGAGTAAGCCAACAAGAGTGATAGAAGCAGAATAACTCAACGTCGCAAAGTGGAGTGTATTTTACTGTAAATTTTACACATCGCCATCATGTTCCGGGTAAAATATTCTTAAAATGTCCACCACACATACCGATCTCTGAAATTATTAATCACTCTGTCCAACATCAGTTGCGTTATTTATGCGATAGCTTGAGAAATGTTGCAGAGTGTGTAGCTTGTCAGCATATATTCGGGCCTTGATGTAGGCACAAGAAAGAATCCATGGGCATTAAATCACATTTGCGATTGCGACTACATAAATAGATAAACCATGATGGCGACCTAATTCTCTGATGAGTAAACGATGAGCACCCAAAACGGGTCTCTCACTTTGGTACAATTTTTTTAATGATTTCAAAACATTCAAGAATTGTGAATCGCTCAATGGCACTAAAGTATAAGCACAAATGCTGCTGAATTGAATGCACTTGAGAAGGTAGGCGTACGAAACTTACTAAATGTAGCCAGTTGACCTAATTAATCGAACGTTTTGCTGATAGAGAAGGCAATTCAATTCAATTCAATTCGCATACGACAATTTCGATCCTTTTCGTCTATCTTCGAGAAATATGTTTTTCAGATCTCTGGAGATACAAATTACACCACATAACCCGTAGGCAATGATACTGGAGACAATTATGGAACGAACGGATATAACATTTTTCGGAGCCAAGTCCCACGAAAGCGACATCCAAATCCCCCGCACCACGTATTAGAAGGCGAAGGATGTAGGTTAAGATAGTTAAGATCAATGATCCATAAACCGCCATTGCAAGACAATGCGAACGCTGTTCCACAATGGTTTACCTAAATGTTGAAGCCACACTAGTTGACAGTATGCTGCCACTATGTCCATTATAAAGAAAAAACAATACATAGATTTGAATTACTTGAGTGGAAAAAAAAAAAATTAAGAGAACAAAAGGACTCATTAACAAATGTTTGATTCGAAGTTTTTGACAAGCTTCAAAAGAATCCAGCAAAATTGAACGATTTTAATTAAAAAACAAGTTTCAAGTTGAAAACCAAAAAAGAAAAATATAACAACAAAATATAGGACATAAACATATATGCAGAGGCAAACACACAAAAGTACTAGAAGATAGATGATAATAATGTTTGTATAAGCAGCATTGTTATACGTGTGATGTCGATATAAATTATACCGGTAATAAAAGTTACTGGACATAATCATTGCAAGCACAGATAATAGGTACAAACTAAAGTTAACCCACACTTATACAAAATATAAGCAGATCGGCGGCATGCAAACAGACAAAAGACAAAGGGAGAAAGAGAGGACTCGGCCGTGTTCATATGGATGTCATGTGTGTGGCGCAAGTGTTATCATATATTGCATTTTGGCTAATATATAGACATGTGCGTCACATATACTTATACATGATGTTTAATACTATGACTTAACATAACATAACAGAAAACCTTAAATAATAAAAACAACAACAACAACAACAACATAATAATAATAATAATAATAATAATAATAATAATATCAGCAGTAGCAGCAGCAGCAGCAGCAGCAGCAGCAGTACTTAAACATACACAGATGTGCTTGTGTGTGCGTGTTTATTAAAAGCACACACACACACACACACACACACACACATACATTTGCCATGCATATTATTCGGTACTACCATTATAGCCCAACATACCACCAGTTAGTCATTACCAATTCATTCAAAATCAGAGTCAGTCAGTTGGTTTGCGTTGCAACAAACCGATAACGAAAATGAAAACAACAGCATTTAAGCTTGAACTTTTCGCCGACGAAAGAAGAAAACGGCACTTCAGTTCACTTTCATTTGTCGTACGGTTAGGTTTAAAGCAAACCCAAATTTTAGTTTTAAAACGATCTAAAAGAGAAGTACTTTCTGATTTCATTGCTGATGATCATCTCTCCGCTGTAATCTAATACTAAAATGCGTATAGGGATGTGTACTTTACTCTTTCTCGCACTTGCGTATACGTTTCATTAGTTTATAGCTTAACTTTGTAATAAAACCCTAAAAACGCGCGCAGGCGCAATTCGTTAACAGGCAATCACCTAAATTGGTTGTCTACGATAGGCGCGCGGAAACTTTTTCAAACATCGCTCACATTTACATAACGTGTCAAAGAGTCAAAGAACAATTCATAAACGTTTTGTAAGAGAACTTCTCCGTATGTATGTATGTATGGCACAAAAATTAAATGCTTAAAATATAATCCAAAAAAAAAAAAAAAAAAAAATTCACATAATACATGAAATATATGAATGCATAAATGATTTCATAACAAGTGTTTATATATGTGAATGCCGTAATTATTAGAAAGTGAAAGTGTCATTAAATGAATTTACATAAATAGTTCATCAACGAAAAGAAGAAGAAAAAAAAAAAAAAAAAAAAAAAACAATAAATATATATGTGTATGTATATTGATAAAAATCAAGGAAGAAAATTTATAAATCGGCAAATCATTCATGCTTCAATATGTTTACAATTCATTTAATTAGTTATGTCTTATGCCTTTTGGCTTTTATAACAGCGGCTCAAAATACTCAAAATCTTATAAATGGTGATCATTTCATCAACGATACAGAAGCAACAATAAGTGATATTATCGATTTAAATCGAAATTCTACAGTCATTTCAAAATCGTCATCCAATGATTTTTCAAATCTTCCTCAGCTACGAGATGCTCTAAATATCTTCGATATCAATTATTTAGCTAAACAATGGTTTCACATTCAAAAGGATGTTTCTCTAAATTGTTCAAAGGATATTTACAAATATTTAAACGCTTTAAATAACAGTTCGCTGTGGGCATTAAAAAGTAAGTTTTATTCTTATACTTAAAAAGAATTCCTATTACGCTCGCCTAATATTAGTTTTGTACAAAACCAACAAGTCATACGAGTATTAATGGGAGATGACTTATTTCCATATAAATATATAACAATTTTTTTATCACAATAAACGATATTTTCAATATAGAAAAAATAGAATTAGAAACGACTAACACATATATATGGATTTGTGACATCTGTTCTGCTGTAGTTCACGCACATTTTGACTTTTAGCTAAATTTATCATCTGCTTTAACTTCTATGGGCACATTATGTGAAGTTTTGGAAATTTCGCAACTTTGATTTATATATATATAATAATTGCCGGGACTGACAGTTTGCTGATTCTAAACGGGGTCATACAGAAGACGAGAAGATTGCACGCAAGTGAACACACAAACGACTTGACCGTTTGAAAAGTTGACCTTGATAAAGTTGTTTATCAAAAGGATCGAGACCGTTGTTTATTGTCGCAAGTAGATGGCTGCAATGATACGATTTATGAAATTTACTTTTACTTATTATATGAACGGTACTCGTCGTCAAAACAGGGCCCGACAGCTATTCATTATTTACAAATCTGAAAAAGATTCTTCAAAAAAAAAGTTTTGGGATCAAATGATGGGAGCAATTTGAGGGCTTGATAAGTCATTCTACAACAAACAAATAGTGTCAAAATGTTAAAGACGCGTTCAAGTAATTGTCGAAGGAAACTACGCTGATGAATAATACCCACTCTTGCAGAAAATGTATTTGTCTTTTTTATTTAACTCGGGAAATTGCTGACCGATATATTATATAGAATAGATTACAATATCTACCATAGATGCAATATATTTAGATATATTTCGAATTTTTCATAATTCATTTCACTGCAACAAGTCTGGTTTGCAAAACTTGACAGTATATATAGAATGAATCCCTTGTACTCCCCACCTTAATCTAATAGTTGAAAATTACAAACTATTCCTTCTCGTATCTGTATGCGTTATGAATGATCGGTGCATTTTTTGTCTCTTCCATATGGCTCCGAGAAATTTGCTAAGTTTGCGCAACAAGAAACCCTTAAAAGTTTTTTTTTGTTGCAGTTGTCCCTTTAAACTTTTGAGAAGGTTCGTCCGGATGAATATTTACAACAAGTCTTACGTATCCTATTTGAAATTTATACTTGAGTAGATTACCGCTCCTTTCAATCTGAAGCGACGATCAACTAACAACGTAAATGTTAGCAAGTTAACAGTAAACTTTATACTTGAAGGTTTGCAATTGCGGCTATTCTAAGAATATGCCAGATATGAGTTAATAGATGGACGGACATTATCCGCAATCTTACGCTTGCTAAGAGTATATGCACCTTGTCGGGATTCTCTAATTCACGATTTTGAATCTTATCTAATTTACTCGAATCCTTTGATGATACATACAGGCGTCTCTCGTTTAACACGATACTTGTAAAGCTTTTCGTGTTGCATCATAATTTTGAATTTCATATTTTCTTCATTATAAAGTCAGTTGAAGTTAACTGACTTACTTTTTCATTTATATATACATTTAAAATAAATTTCCATCATAACAATTTATATCTTAAGACATGGTTTCGACACAACGCGAATAAGATTTGCAAACAACACCAGACACTTTTTTTGATTTATAAAATATTTACATTTAAATTACGCGGTTCTATGCAATATTTATTTATTTTGAATAACGAAATGAAAAAGTTTCGTATAACAAGGTTTCGATACAGCACAGTACGAATTAACTGTGTTAAGTGAGGGACACCTGTACATATATAAAAACATAAACAAAGAGGACCAAAAAATTATCAAGTCGGATCCACTTTCTATAAAAATTTTCGAAAAAAAAAAAAAAATTTATGTTCAGAAAAGTCGAAGTTACACATATAGCTATATGTAAGAATCGCGCGTTCATTACTTGAAGTGCCGCAAATTCTGGCCAAGGAACTAAATCAACAAAATAAAAGTCAAAATTCGGAGATTAGTTTTTTTAATTAGATTAATTGATTTAGCAAAATTTAGATATTTCAAATTTTCTAAGGGATTTTTTTTCCTCAATAATTTGCCAAGTTAAAGATTTGCTTTAAATTTCTAAAAATACAACAATTTTTATTTTACATAAAAGTTAATAATACGTGAAGTACGAATTAACAACTGATGGCTAAACATATATATATATATTGTTGTGTATTGCATTTTACGATAAACAGAATTGTGTTTCTAGAAACCTTATACCTTTTTATACCCATCACTCAAAAATTAGGGATATATTCGTTCATTTTGTCAAACCCCAGAAAGAAGCTACAGAGACAAAAGTGTATATATTCTTGATCAGGATCAAATTCTAAATCGATTTAAGTATGTCCGTCAGTCGGTCTGCCTGTCCGTCTATGTGATATCTATTGCAAACATGATAGTGGTGAAATTTGTCAGAAACATTCGAAGTTCTTGCTCGCAGGTTTTTATTGAAAATCGTCTAAACTGGCCGATGGATACGTCTACAGTGCTATGTAAGCTGAAAGCACTTCGCTTCCCATCAAAAAAAAAAGAATTGATTTTTTTGTTAATTATTAACACGCTCTAACAAATATGCTTAAAAACATTTGAACGTATATTTAGGGAACGATGCTGGCTGGAGTGCCTGTATAAATGCGGAAGGAGTGTCAGCAGCTACGCAATATTTTAGTATATTAAATTTTCATTTTTTCCCAGAAGGAAGCTTTAGGGAACCCATGAAGTATATTATATACCTTCAGAGCTATGTGAAATCAGGAATGCGCCTAAGCATATTGATCCGTCTGTTTGCCCCATCGCGTAATTTCTGGAATAAACTTTCCCCCGTTCTTAATGAAATGAAAATATCGTCCATAAATTTGCTAAAGGATTGGAAAGGATTGGTGCAAACCAGCCAAAGAATCCGCTTACGAAGCAAGAAAATGTGAGAACAATTTTGCTTACTCATAAACGACAGCAGACACCCTACATAAATTTCCATTTTTATTCTGCATAAATAGAAAGACTCCAAGCCATATCTAGAAAATGTTCTGTAATATTGTAATTAATTTTTTTACTGTTTTTTAAAATAACGGTGATGGGTATGAAAAGTACGCCGAATATAGCCGAATACAATTTTCCTACTTGTAGAGTTTGTTCAATGTAAACCACGTTTTAAAATATAAATAAATTTTTTCTCTTTTTTTTTATAACAAAACCTTCAACAAATCTTTAGCCGCATGAGTTTTGTGAAATGTCTGCTACTTAAATGTTCATAATTCGGTTGTATGAAGAGTACACTTTATCAGTTAAAGATGAATATATTGACCAAAAATTATTTACTTGCATCACATTGCATATACAGGCTTTAAAGAGTCCCTGCTAGATATGATGGATATAAAATTGAATAACAAAGAATACACATATGCAATGCACCGGCAAACAAAAAAATAATGAATAGAAAGCATCCCGAATGGGTTAAAGGAAACCGTAAATAAAAAATCTTTTAAAGATACCTATTTTCTTCGTCATAATCGCACATCGTTAAGCAAATGCAGTTAAATAGTAACATTGATCGTATTCATCTTATGATAAATATCTTTCGCAATTTTTCTTTTAGAATTTTCAATAAAATTTAAACTAAAATATAGAAAAATTAACTTTCAGTTAATAGCGAATCTATTTCACGACCTTCAGTTATACTCTAAGTGGGTATATATTTTTTGACGGTTACCTTTTCTTTATATTATATATCATATTAAGATTCCACAAGATGCGTAAAATGACGTGCAACTTTAACGATGAATCCACTATAACAGACTAAACAAAAAAAAACACGTATTTTGGTCAATTTTTTTTGGGATAATAATAACATTCGTGGAGGTTGCAGTAAGCAGTTGCAGTAAGTACTAAACGCGCCAAAATATCTTAATGACTCACAATTCACGATTAAATACCCTAAACCACTTCATATATAATCATTTATACAACGATTTTTTAAAAGTGGTCCAATGTGAACCATTTTTAATAGGGTTCGCTCTTAGACCAAAACACGTCACCACACCAAAAGTTTTAACCTCTAGGGCAAGCACTAGATTATCAGATTTAGATTAATTACGAAAGTGATTCTGAAAAGATCGATATAATAAAAGATGGGTCTATCTCAAGTGCTTCTGGATTCCACACTGACTTAACATGCACTGTATGCACAAGTGATGTAGGGTATGAAAAAGGAATCTATTTTTGAAAAATATTAACATAAGACAACACCGAAACCATTCTCGTGAAGAATCTTTAATTCGAGAGTTCCCTGGCCAATAAAATAGCCGAAGCAGATTTATATCGAAATGAAAAGAAAAAATCACTTAAACCCGAGAATATCCCGAGAATTACTTCGAAAGTCTTTACAAATTTTGATTTTTGCTTGATTGATGACTATTTGAATGACAAAATCAAATTTTCGACCAAAAAAAAAAAAAAAAAAAAAAGCAATCATTTATTAATAATAATATTCACGTATACTTCTCACTAAAATCTTATTGGAAAGATAGTGAGAAAAATTTGATTGAAAAAAATGAAAATTGTCAAAGTGATGCTTGAGAAAATCGAACCTTGACGCTTTATACGTTGCGAAATGACGGAGAATTTGTAATTGTACAGCGAACAACAAAGCTTTATTACAACGCCTTAATGATCTCCGCTCGGCCGGATCTTAATACACGCTAATAATGGTAAAGTGTTTTCGCCCTTCTGCTTTGAATCGCAATCGTATTAGCTTCAAACTGACTTAAACAATTTGGTTACAAGGTGCTCGTCAAATTTTAAAAATTTGCAAGAGGCTTTCTCTCTTAAAAAGGAAGTCATTCAGTACTGCGTATTTCATTGGCTCAAACAAGTTGGAAAACGTCGATTCGTTCATCGATTTAGGGATTCTATTCGATCAAAAATTACGTTTTTATATGCAGATTGAGCTTTCT